TTTTTTTTTTTTGCTTATGTGGTGCTGAGGAATCGAACCCAGGGCCTCAGGCATGCAAGGCAAGTGCTCTACCACTGAGCCACCTTCCCAGCTATGATTTGTTTTCTGAGAAACTGGAACATAGTCCCATTTCTCACCTCAGCCATTCTTATTTCAGTATTATGGGAAACATCTGAATTCAACTATATCTCATCATCTTTTGAAATGGTGATTGCTGATAGGTTAGATGTTCAAATGTCAGTTCACCAGGGAACCTAGAAAAGACTGTAGGACAGAGGACAGATGGGGTTTTTGAAAAATCACTGAATGTAGTACAGTTTATAAGTTTCAACTTTTCTACCCTTGTCTTTGTTTTTCAGGTATGCACCTTCTAAACGGTGGCATATAGACACAATTATGCGTGTTCTGACAACGGTAAGTAGCTTCTTATTCAGTTATGCTAAGTACTTGGATATATATAGAAGTGAGCCAGATAAAGCCCTTGTTCTCATGGAGCTTACGTTCTAGTGGGAGAGATTGGAAATTCATGGGAAAATGTGTAACATAAGTGCTATGATAAAAACCTAAAACAGCATGATAGCAAGTTAGGGTGGGATATATGGAAACTGACCAGTAGTTTTATGTGGAGTAGTGACATCAGGTCCCAGAGGAGGTAACATTTGAGTAATGATCTTGGTGAAGTGAGGAACCAGCCAGGCAAAGGTCTTGGAGAAGAATGCACTAATCAGATGGAGCAGTGAGCACTCAGACCCCATGTGGCAGTAGCTTTGGTCTGCTTGAACAGTTGGGAAGTGTTTATTCTTCCCAGGGCCATTTGGCTGTTTTTAACATCATTCTTAAGCTATACAAAATTATCAGTATAGGCAGATGGTCATGAGTAGCCAACAAGAAGCATATAAGACAAATACTCCATACCAATGATCTCATGCCTCTGACATTTCCTGCCTCTGGTGGAATATGCCTTTTTGAACTGTTAATATACTCATTATACCTCCCGCTTTCCCAGAGTAACATACTGTAGTTTGTCTATATGATTTTTAACACCAGGGAGTGGTTGTTCTAGTTGAGTTCTCAATGAATATACTTCTTAAAATTTTTGAAATTTTCCACTTTTAGCAGAGAAAAACACTTTCTTTATATGCACACACATGTACTTATATGTGTGTATACAAATATGTATACATGCATATACACACATGTAGATGCATTCTTTATATATTTTTATTTGTTATCAATAATTATTTATTATATTTATTTTTGGGGGGAGTGCTTGAACTCAAGGCCTAGGTACTATCCTTAAGCTTTTGTGCTCAAGACTAGTGCTCTTACCACTTGAGCCACAGCTTCATTTCTAGCTTTTTGCTGGAAACAAGAATCTCATGGACTTTTCTGCCTGGGCTGGCATTGAATTGCAGTCCTCAAATGTTAGCCTCTTGGGAAGCTAGGATTGCAGATGTGAGCCACTAGTGCCTGGCTTTTCTCTGAAAAATTTGAAACCTTAGCCAAGTGCCAGTGGCTCATGTCTATAATCCTAACTACTCAGGAGGCTGAGATCTGAGGATAGTGGTTCAAAGCCAGCCTGGGTGGGAAAGTCCATGAGACTCTGATCTCCAATTAACCACCAGTAAACTAGAAGTGGAGCTGTGGGTCAAAGTGGTAGAGTGGTAGCCTTGAGCAAAAGAGCTCAGGGATGGGTCTGGAAAGGTGGCTCAGCCCTAGAGTGCTTACCTGGCATGCATGAGATCCGGGGTTCGATTCCTCAGCACCACATAAACAGAAAAAGCTGGAAGTGGCACTGTGGCTCAAGTGGTAGAGCACTAGCCTTGAGCTGAAGAGCTCAGGGACAGCGCTCAGGACTAGAATTCAAGCCCCATCACCACCACCACCAACTCAGGGACCAAAAAAAAAAAAAAAAAAGAACCCTTTATAATTTGCCTTTAATTTAGACAAGATTTTTGAATATTAACATTTTAGTATTTAATTTTTTTAAAGTTTAAAAAGAATAGAAGTAGGCTTATTGCTGAGAATTTTCTTTAGTAGTTTCTTTTTAACAATAGTTGGAAAAATGAGCTGGAAAATAGATGAAACTGGAAATCATTATGTTGAACAAGATAGGCCAAGTTCAGAAGTGAAATATTTCATGGTTTTGCTCATGTGGAATCCCTAGACCTAAAATGAATTGCAGGGGAACTGTCTGGAGAGGAGAAACTAATGGGAGGGAGAAGGAAATGGTGCTAGACGGCGCATGTGATCCAAGTATATGATACTCTATTTACATAGCACATATATATATATATAAAATGTGTGTGTGTGTGTATGTGTGTGTGTATGAAGATAAAATAATGAAACCTACTAAATACTGTTTACAAAAGGTAAAGGAGAAAAGGGGACTAAGAATATAATAGATGGGTGAGTCTGGTTAAAGAATATTGCGTATATGTCCGGAAATACCACACTGATGCCTCTGCAATTAATTTACACTAATATTAAACAGAATGTTGATAAACAATGTTACCATTGCTTTGTTTTTTATAGTGATAACTCTGCATTTCCTTTTAGGCAGGAAGTTATGTTCGTGATGATGCAGTCCCCAACTTAATTCAGTTAATAACTAATAGTGTGGAAATGCATGCTTATACAGTCCAGCGCTTGTATAAAGCAATTCTTGGTGATTATTCTCAAGTAAGTACTTCATTTGCTAGCCTTTCTACTTAGAAAACTTTCTATTTATTTTTCTGACTCATCACTATTTCTAACACTGTACATGTACTCCTTCTTTCCTTTATGATTAAATGATCTATGCTTGTCATTAAGTATTTTTGGCAATATTGAAGTCCTTGACTTTTGTTTTTACAGCAACCTTTGGTACAAGTAGCTGCATGGTGTATAGGTGAATATGGTGATCTTCTTGTGTCTGGCCAATGTGAAGAAGAAGAGCCTATTCAGGTACCCCTTGTTAGTTTTGGTTAAGGAAGGGAGAAGAGTGCTTTGGGTTGTGGGAGAGTGGTGTTTAATAGGGAGCTGAAGTTCATGCTTTGAAAACTATTCCAACTAGTACTAGAATTATGTTGGGAAATGTGCTAGTTTTGGGGATGGATCATTGTGAGACATTGAAACATTAATTAATGGTGCTCAGTGGTAAGGTGTTCAGTCCCTAGTACTAAAAACAAAATCCACAAACATGTTAGGCTCATTCCTCTTCCTAGCAAGTGGAATTATTTATTCTTTTACTCTGTGGCTGATGAGCAAGAAGAAATGAGGCATATTTCTTTGTTTTAATTTGCTCATTAGAGGACTGACTTCAGAAAGTTGTGTCTTTGAACTATTCAGATTTTTCTTTGTAATTCTTCTGCCACTTTATAATATGTGTTTCAGTCCCACTTTTTGTGTTTTCTCCCATTCTTGGGGCTTGAACTCTGGGTCTGAGTGCTCCTCCTTAGATTTTGTGCTCAAGGCTAGCACTCTACCGCTTGAGCCACAGCTCTACTTCTAGCCTTTTGTGGTTAATTGGAGATGAGTCTCACAGACTTTTCCTGCCTTATCTGGCTTCAACCTCAGATCTCAGCCTCCTGAGTAGCTATGATTACAGGAGTGAGCCTCTCTCTGGTGCCTGGCTTGAACTCTACTTTTGACTGGTGGGTTAGCAACGTGCAGGTTGTGTTCAAGGCTCTTGTGATGGTTGGCAGCATTCTGACTTGATTTTGTAAGATTCAGTTATTTAGTGTCACCATTCATTCTGCCTGTTTTTTTCCTCTTTGTTTTCCCCTAGGTAACGGAGGATGAAGTCTTGGATATTTTAGAAAGTGTTCTAATCTCTAACATGTCCACCTCTGTGACACGAGGTTATGCCCTCACTGCCATTATGAAGCTTTCTACTCGATTCACCTGCACTGTAAAGTGAGTATTGAAGAAAAGTTGGCTAAATAGGTTGTTTTGTAATTAAAAATGGTTTATTGTGGTTGGCTGTAGCTCAGTGGTAGACATCTGGTTTAGCATGCATGAGGTCCTGGTTCCAATTTCCAGCAAAACACAATACACATACGTGTGCATGCTTACATACAGACACAATAAAAATGGTTTTTGTGGAAATTTTCAAGGATAGCAGCAGAGAAAATAATAAAATGAGTTTGTATTTTCTTATTCTACTCATGTTCATAAGGATCAATTCATACCTAATTCTTATTTCATATGTACTTTGTTCTCTGTCCTTATCCCATCCTATCAGAAAATTTTGAAGCTAGAAAGTTAATAATTTATGATTCATTTCTAACACTTTAAAAATAGAGAAAGTAGCTATTTTCACATAAAAGGTTTAGTTTATTATAATATTTTAAGTTATTTGAATAGGAATAAAACCATGAGTGTTCTGTTGATTAAAATCTTTACATTAGACTATTTTTTTCACTATTTTTTGATCATGGGGCTTGAACTCAGGGTCTAGGTGCTGTCTTTGAGCTTTTTTGCTTAAGGCCTAGTGCTCTACCACTTTGAGCCACAGCTCCACTTCTGGTTTTCTGGTGGTTAACTGGAGATTTCCTTTGAACTTTCCTGCCCAGGCTGGCTTCAAACCATAATCCTTAGGTCCACAGCCTTCTGAGTAGCTAGGATTATAAGTGTGAGCTACCAGTGCCCAGCTTCACTTATTTATTAGCATATAATACAAAGAGGTTTCATTATATTTCTATACATGCATATAATGGATTTGATAATTTGACTTTTATCATAATCAGCTTTCTATTGCTTTTTCTTGTCCTCCTCTCCCCTTTAAAGCTAATTTTAGTGAATTTCCTTTTTTTCATATTTATATATGAAGTACTTTGTTTTCCAGGCAAACATTTCTTTTAGACTTTTTGCTTTATTTTTTTAAATCTTTATTATTTTTTGTGCCAGTCCTAGGGCACAGCTCCTGGGCACACTGTCCTTGAGATTTTCTTTTTCCTCAATCCTTGCCCTCTATCCCTTGAGCCACTGTTAGCTCTTTGGTGGTTAATTGGTGATAAGAGTCTTCCTAACTGTCTGCCAGTATTAGCTTTGAACCATGATCCTCAGATCTCAATCACCTGCATAGCTAGGATTACAGATGTGAGCCAGTGGTTGCCCAGCTGCTTTTTTTTTTTTAAATGCTTTTTTTTTTAATGTAAAATCTTTTGAGACTGTTAATTCTGACTTTTAATATTTGTGAGCTAGAACAATTTGGGTTAAGATGTTCATTCTAAAAGCTTATTTTAAAGATTTTTTTTTTTTGTTTTCCTTTGTTGGTACTAGGGTTTGGACTCAAAAAACTATTGTGCCTAATGTTAGGCAGGAGCTCTCCCACTTGAGCCATAGTCCAACCTTATTGTAAAGTTATTAGAGAAGAGAAATGACCACAAATTTATTTTGTGGCATAGTAATTCATACTTTTTTTTTGTCAGTCATGGGACCTGAACCCTGGGCCTGGGTGCTGACCCTGAGCTCTTCAGCTCAAGGCGAGTGCTTTATCACTTGATCCACATCTCTACTTCCAGTTTTCTGGTGGTTAATTGGAGATAAGGGTCTCACAGGGACTTTCTTGCCTGGGCTGGCTTTGAACTGTGATCCTCAGATCTCAGCCTCCAGAGTAGCTAGGATTACAGGTGTGAGCCATCAGTGGCTGGCTTAATTCACACTTTTTTTTGTAGTGTATTTTAGGGCCTGGAATACTTAACAAACAAAAGTCTAACATAATTATAATAGAATAATGGTGAATGTTAGATGAATGAAGCCAAAGAAAAAATGTTCTGTTTTTGAAAAATTATGTAAGTTAAGATAAATATTAACAATTTCAACCAGGCTGGGTACTGGTCACACACAATTACTAGCTACTCATAAGGCTGAGATCTGAGGATCATGGTTTCAAAGCCTACCCAGGCAGGAAAGTCTATGAGACTCTTACCTCCAATTAACTACCAGAAAACCAGAAGTAGAGCTGTATCTCAAAATGGTAGAGCCCTAGCCTTGAGCAGAAGAGCTCATGGATAGCGCGCAAGCCCTGAGTTCAAGTCCCACAATGGACAAAAAAGAAGTGAAATATGATTTAAACATTCTTCTTGCTTGTTTAGAATTTCCTTTTGTGTATTGCATTTGATTTATCATTTTATCCCGCAGCCGAATTAAGAAAGTGGTTTCCATTTATGGAAGCAGCATTGATGTGGAACTCCAACAGAGGGCAGTAGAATATAATGCACTTTTTAAGAAATATGACCACATGAGGTGAGCAAAAGAAACTAAGTACCTCTAGCATCTCCATTACGTGATCTCAATAGTCCCTAAAGGACAATCATTCTGTATGCTGGATCTATTTAGTTCTCATTACTTGACTGTTTTTGTTTTGTCCCATTTTCTGTTTTGCCTAGCCACTAAGATAGAAATTTATTGTGTTCTATTGTTTCATTTCCTTTTCCCCTTGGACATGTAAAGTATGTTTCATTTTCCATTTTGTTTGGTTACAGAGTGAGAGGATTGTGTTATTTTTTTATTTTTTGGTAAGAGAAATAATTTCATTTAGATTCTATTGCTGTTTAATATTTTGGTAGTTTCATCTCTTTTTTCCTTCATTATGCAGTATCTTTTATTATTTATATATATATATTTTCAAAGATAAGGTCTTAGATCAGCCTGGCCTTGAATTTGCAATTTTCCTGCATCAAATATTAGGATTACAGAACTGTGTTACACAGTTAGAATCTTTTTTTTTCTTCAAATTCTTTATTGTGATTTAAGTGATTACATAATTTCCCAATTTCACAGTATTGTGGGATAGTGATGTTTAGTTAAAGTCACAAACACATTCTAACTTTCATGGGGCAAATTGTCTATCGTGGTCTATAACATTTATGAGTTCTATGAGCTTTGCAATACAGTTATTTCTTCCACATGGGTGATATATACATTTCTTTTGTTTTGCATAGCATCAGCTGTTCCCTCTTTCCCACTTGTTCCCTCCCTCCCATCGCTGCCATTGAGTTGCTTAGTTCATTTTGATCAATGTCCAGTGCAGTTGATGGGTCCCGCTATGGTATGTTTTTCCCTGATTCCCTCTAGTTCTGTGTTGTCCTCCTGGTTTCCTTCCGGTGTGCACATATATACCATATATGTGATCAGCAGCATGGGGTTATTTAGTAGTGATTCAACCAGATGAGTGGAAGTCCTTTGTTTCTTAAGTCTTGTTAATTTTGTCGTTATCACCTTACATTTTGGATTTAACATCCACCTATCAGGGAGACCATGTGCCTCTTTGCTCTTGGCTTACCGGCTCAACATGTTTCTTCTAGCTCCATCTATTTCCCTGCAAATGCCATTATTTTTTAATGGCTGCATAATATTCCATTGTGTATAAATACCACAATTTTTGGATCCATTCATCTGTGGTGGGACATTTGGGTTGTTTCCATATCCTGGCTATTGTGAACAGTGCTGCAATAAATATGGAGGTGCATGTGTCCTTGTATACTGGTTCCTGTTGTTCAGGATAGATACCTAAAAGTGGTATGATGGTCATAAGGGAGGTCAATATTTAGCTTTCTGAGGACCCTTCAGACTGCTTTCTAAAGTGTAATAGGGTTCCTCTTTTTCCACATCTCCTTCAGCATTTGTTGTTGGCTGACTTTAGGATGTGGGCCATTCTGACTGGGGTAAGGTGGTATGCCAGGGTTGTCTTTATTTGCATTTCCTTCACAACCAGGGATGGTGAACATTTCCTCATGTGTTTCTTTGCCATTTTTATCTTTTCTTCTGAGAAGTCTCTCTTTAGTTCCCTTGCCCATTTAGTAATTGGTTTGTTAGGTTTGGGAGGGATTAGTTTCTTGAGTTCCCTGTATATACTGGATATTAACCCCTTGTTTGATATATTGCTGGTGAATATTTTTTTCCCAGTTAGTTGGTTGTCTTTCTAGCTTGGTTGCTATAGCTTTAGCTGGGCAGAAACGTTTTATTTTAAGGTAGTCCCATTTGTCAAGTCTCTCTCCAATTTGTTGTGACCCTTGGACTCTGTTCAGGAAATTCCTGCCTGTGCCTGTAAGTTCAAGTGTCTCTCCTACTCTGTCCTGCAGTAGTTTCAGAGATTCAGGTTTGATCTTAAGGTCTTTAATTCATTTTGAGTTGATGTTGGTGCATGGTGATAGGCTGGGGTCCACTTTAGTTTTCTGCATGTGGCCTCCCAGTTTTCCCAGCACCAGTAGTTGAAGAGGCTGTGTTTCTTCTACTGTATGTCTTTGGGCTCCTTTGTCAAATGTCAGCTGACTGTAGTCATGTGGTTTTATTTCTGGATCTTCTATTCTATTCCATTGGTCTTTGGGTCCGTTTTTGTGCTAGTACCATGCTGTCTTTGTTATTATATTCTATAGTAGAGTTTGAAGTCCGGCATTGAGATCCTTTCCATGTCTTTTTTGCCTAGAATTGTTTTGGTTATTCTAGGTCTTTTGTTGTTCCATATGAATTTTTGGACTGTTTCCCGTATTTCAGAAATATACATCATTGGGATTTTAATAGGGATTGCATTGAATTTGTATATTAATTTGGCAGTATTGCCATTTTCACTATATTAAGTCTGTCTATCCAAGAGCATGGAAGGTCTTTCCATTTCCTAGTGTCTTCTGTAATTTCTTTCTTTAAGTTTTTATAGTTTTCGTTAAATCGTTCTTTTACATCTTTGGTTAGGTTAATTCCTAAATATTTTATTTCTTGGGGGAGTATTGTGAATGGGGTTAGTTAGAATCTTTTTTAAAAAATTACTATTATAAAGGTGATATACAGAGACAGCCAGAATCACCTTCTTGATTTGACTGTTAATATGTGTTGATTTACATTTTGTTCATCCACTCTACTATTGAAATACATGTTTGGGGTTGTAGGTGAACATTTTTATTTATTCATGGGTTTTTGCATATCCCTAATCCAGTCAGGAATTTAGATCTATGCTTGTAACCGTATAATTTTGAGAGGGGGATGGGAGATTGCTCTCCATGTTAGATTTAAAAATTGTTAATAATTATGCTTGAGGTAGGGAATTTAGGTTAACTGCCTAGAATTTAACCACTTCAGATTCTTCTAGGTCTGCCCTACTGGAGAGGATGCCTGTTATGGAAAAAGTGACCACAAATGGCCCAACTGAGATTGTGCAGACAAATGGGGAGACAGAACCAGCTCCACTAGAGACTAAACCACCACCCTCTGGGCCACAGCCCACCAGCCAGGTAGTCTTTCACTTGCTTGTATAGGGCTCCTGATGATCCAGTAGTCCAGAGTAGCTTATTTCTTATCTATATTCTTTTAATATTTTGAGTTACTTGATGATTTCCTTCCTTATTTTTAAAAAATTGGAAGAGCTTTGTGTCATATGTAGTTTAGACAAAAACTAATGACTTGAGTTATTGTTTCCTTGTTTAGGCCAATGATTTATTGGATTTGTTGGGAGGAAATGACATAACACCTGTTATTCCAACTGCACCTACAAGCAAACCAGCTTCTGCTGGTGGAGAACTTCTTGATTTACTGGGAGATATCACCCTTACAGGTGAGACTACATGGGAACTATTTAATGCTTGGATGTGTATAGAGACCTTGGGGAAAAAGTAATACTGAACACTGACTTTCCTGCATATAAGTCAGTTGAAGGTGAAAGTGTCTAAATGTGAAGCAGAGAGTCTGTGGGTTGTTTTTTTGTGGGGGAGGGGACAGTGTTAATGGGATTTTAACTCAGACCCATAGCACTTAATAAGCAGGTACTCTACCATTGGAGCCATGTCTACAGCATAAGAGAATTTTTACAACATGTAGGATATAAGCTGTTATGCTCATTCACTGAATATAATTCATAAGGATTCCTTAGGGTAACTTTTCCTTTGGGAGAATAAACTATTCATAGTATTTTTTACATAGAGAGGACTTTTAGGCTTGCAAGTGTCCCAAGATACCTGTGCCTTTAGTTGGTATCTCAAAACAGAAACTTTTTCTAAGTTTCTCTCTATTTATGCTTAGTTTTCAAAGTCTATGGCCATTCATGGTAAGCTACTGATTTACTGCCTACCTTTTCCCCTCCCTTCTAACCCTTGCTGTTATTAAAGAAACCAGAGGAGAAAATATAACTCAAATAATTTTTCATTTGGCAATGTGTTTTTGAGTTTTTGGTCATGTTCTGGTAGACATTTGTTATTGATATGTTTAGTGATATTATGAACCCCCAGAGTCTAAGAATATCACTGTTTTTTCTCTTCTCATCCTGAATTGCAGTGTAAATACAACTGAAAAAGTGTCTTTACAAGTAAAATTGCGCTGGGCACCTGTGGCTCACACCTGTAATCCTAGCTATTCAGGAGGCTGAGATCTGAGGATAATGGTTCAAAGCCAGCCTGGGCAGGAAAGTCTGTGAGACTCTCATCTCTAACAACCAGAAAACCAGAAGTGGCGCTGTGGCTCAAATGGTAGAGCACCAGCCTTGAGCCCAGGTCCGGAGTTCAAGCCCCACAACCGACAAAAAAAAAAAAAAATAATAAAAATGTTAAAAAGAGGGCTGGGAAGGTGGCTCAGTGGTAGAGCACTTGACTTTGCATGCATGAGGCCCTGAGTTCGATCTCTCAGCACCACATAAGCAGAAGTGGTGCTGTGGCTCAAGTGGTAGAGCGCTAGCCTTGAGGTGAAGAGCTGAGAGACAGTGCCCAGGCCCAGAGTTCAGGCCCATGACTGGACCCCCCCCCCAAAAAAAAAAAAAAGTTAAAAAGAATGTGCACCTTTTTTTTTTTGGTCGGTTGTGGGGCTTGAATTCTGGGTTTGGATACTGTCCTTACACTCTTCAGCTGAAGGTGAGCACTCTACTGCTTGAGCCACAATGCCACTTCCAGTTTTCTAGTGGTTTATTAGAGATAAGAGTCTCACGGACTTTCCTGCCCAGACTGGCTTTGAACTGAGATCCTCAGATCTCAGCCTCCTGAGTAGCTAGGATTACAGGCATGAGCCACCTGTGCCTGGCTTGTGCACTGGTTTTTACTTAGTTACAGTTGGATATTTGTGTTTAGTTTTTTCTCTTTCTTCCTTTCTCTCTCTTTCTTTCTTTCTTTTTCTTTCTCTCTCTCTTTCTCTCTCCCCCTCCCTCCCTCCTTCCCTGTCTCTCTCTCTTCCTTCCCTTCCTCCCTCCCTCCCTTCCTCCCTCCCTCCCTTCCTCCCTTCCTTCCTTCCTTCACTTGAACTTTGGGCCTGGGTGCTGTCCCTCAGCTATTTAGCTCAAGGTTTAGCGCTCTACCACTTGAACCACAGTGGCCATTTCCATAGAGTTTTCTTATATAATTGCTTCAACAAAGAGTACATCAGTTTGTACTTAATTTGGATTACTTTTATAGACTAAAGTCTTTCTGAATCTGGTTAAACTAAGGATTTTTTTGAGGACTGCATTCTCATTCAGTGCATGACACAGAGGGAAACTTGGATGTTGTTTACCAAATATTTCCTCAGTTTATTTGGCTTTCTGTTTTACTTTATAGTCACATGCATCTTACATCTTTTTATAAAGGGCTATATAATAGGTAAAACATTGGCTAAGGTAACTGTAACCCCTTTGTACAGTATCTTTACAATAAATAACATATATTAAAAAATTGACTGTATTATTTTGTTGATCTGTTCAATCTTGGGAAATGTTTAATATTTAGTAACATATTTGCATTGAAAATGAAATTTGATTTTTGAATACTTTAAGTCCTTAACTCATTTATTCTACACTCTTCATGTTTGGTTTTTGGCCTTTTGTGAAATTACCTTTAAGTAATTGTATAAAGGAGTTTCAGTTCAATATGTCAGTTTGTTTTCCTTAGTGTTAAGTGTAAAAGAAAACTGATAAAATATTTAAAAGCTTAGCTTTTTGCTTTTCCTTTTCATAGTATGTTTTAAACACATTTCCCCATTTTCTTTGTATTTTTAAGGTTAAAAGTTTGGAATTTTAGCTTCTTTAGTCCATCTTGATAATTATGCTTTATTGTATAGTGATTAAATGTAGTGTGTATTTTTGGAGGATTTGGAGCAGTGAATTTCTATTGGTCCTCTAAACTATTTACTTGTACAGGAGAGAAAGGATAAAACTTGGGAGAATTAAGGTCCCATATATTGTACATGTATCTTAGGTAAACTCTGATTTTCTCTAAGAATACATTTCTATATTAGTTTGAAATGAGAAATGGTAGGGAGTAACATCGATCAAGATGCATTATACTCATAAACTGCTTTATTGAATGGCAACTCCTGTGTACAACTACTTAAAGATAATAAAAATATTTAAAAGAGAAAGCAAGAAATGGTAGGAAATTATTTTGGTAGATAAAAAAAATCCTAGAACTATTATGAGCATTTAATTGATAAACTGCTAAACTGAATATCCTGTGGTGTTTAGTTTATTTGTTGTGCTTTCTTTTGCTATCTATATTGCTACTTTGCTAATTTTCAGTATGCTGTTTTTTTGTTTTTTGTTTTTTTGGTGCTGCAATTAAATCTAGTACCTTGTACATGCTACTGAGCTATGTCCCTTGCCTAGTATATTGGAGTTTTGTCCTAGTTTTTTTTTTTTTTTATATTACTATGAAAGATATCCCAGCCAGGTATCTGAGGTTCATGCCTGTAATCCTACCTACTCAGGAGGCTGAGATCTGAGGATTGTGGTTCAAAGCCAGCCTGGGCAGGAAATTCTGCAAGACTCTTATCTCCAATTAACTACCAAAAGACTGGAAGTGGTGCAGTGGCTCAAGTGGTAGAGCACTTGTCTTGAGCTGAAGAGCTCAGGAACAGCATCCAGGCCCAGAGTTCAAGTCCCATGACCAACACCTCCCCTTCCCACCCCAAAAAAAGATATCCCAAACTTTTTTTTTAATTTTAAATTTACTGTGTTAATTCTGTTTTATTTCTTTGTTAGTACTAGGACTTGAACTCAGGGCCTTGCTTTCTAGCTTGGCTTTTTCACTCAAGGCTGGCACTCTTAACACTTGAGCCACAGCTCTACTTTTGGGTGTTTGCTGGTTAATTTGAGATAAGATTTTCCTGCCTGAGTTCGCTTTGAACTGTGATCCTCAGATCTCAGCCTCCTAAATAACTGGGATTGCAGGTGTGAGCCACTAGCACCCTACTTTTTTTCTTTTTCTTTCTTTTTTTTTTTGGGTCCGGTCATGGGGCCTGAACTCTGGGCCTGGGCGCTGTCCCTCAGCTCTTCAGCTCAAGGCTAGCGCTCTACCACTTGAGCCACAGC